AGAGGCATTTTTTTTCCTGGTTCGTTCAAAACACGCCCCATAATCACAGCTCTATGGAGCAGTATCAGACTCATATTCTGACTAGAATTGAGTAGGACTACGTCAGGCTAGAGAATTTCACTTATCCGCACTAATTTGGGGGTTTTTAGCATTAATTTGAAATTCAAATAAAAACGGTGCTCCATCCTAAACAAAAGTAAATGAAATCCCAGTCTACAATTGGAAAAAATGTTTGGATAAAAAAAGTAAAATGGAAAAATATGTTGAAAATCATTATGCATAATGGCTTACATGCTTCCTGTGGCTGAGCTGCTGTCAGTGGGGAGAGAGCCATTGGATCGTTCCATTTGAGCCAACCTGGAAAACAAAACAAAAAAAAACAGTTAAAATGAAAGCCTTCAAAGGCTGTTAGGACATCGTTAAAACACAGAGCACTGCTGCTAACAAACGAGGACATCAACACCTCGGTGGGCGAACTGTAAAAACGTGCCGTCAAGTCAGCAGGAACGCTCACTGACAAAGAAATATAAAAAGATCATCTAAGTTTAGCACATGCACATTATATATACATTAATGAATGCAGTCACCAAAATGGAAGAGCATTTGTGGATGATTATGTGTAGCAGACATGAGGTTGTGGAGAGTGAAAATAGACACGGTAAAAACATTTATGATTTCATAATTGCAAATCCACTCAAAGCAAGGCAGTTATGCTAATTAAGTCAATTCCTAGAGCTTATATGCACACAAAAAAACTAAAACACAGAGTAGGGATAAAGTACTCAGTGTTTTATTGTTAATTTTGAAAATATGAAAGAGTTTACATAGAAGACATAAATCTTAGATATAACCATTTTGTTTCAGCTTATTTGAGAAACTGTGATGGCATTGCTTTTCATTTATAATTTCCAACTTATTGAACTGAAGCGCATTACTGAATCAAGTTTTCAGCATGTTTTAGTCACAGATGTGTCCACGGTGTCCTCGCAGCTGAATATTAGTTTGGTTCCATTATAATTTGTGTGTTCATCCAGGAAGTCTTTTTGAAGCTGAAATTTGACGCATTTTTCGCCAAAGGAGTGGATAAACTTCAGAGGTCAATGCACAGCTAATTTGAAAGCAAAGGATCCTGAGTTCTCGTTATGCTGCTATAGAGCAATGATACTAAAGGACCTAAACACCTGGACACAACTTTCTGTACTCCTCTGGTCATGAAAGACAAACCCATAATTGTTGCAAAATTAAGGGGTAGTTCAGTTTTCAAAATTTTTATAAAGTTTACAAAATATACTCTGATTGAACATAAGTGAAATGAGCCAAAACATACGGTCTAGAGAGGGCCCCTTCAACACTGAGTCAAAGGGAGGCAGTTTGGAGTAGACCAATTATAACTGTGGACAGGTGGAGATGTGTAATTAACAGTTATATAAATCGTTTAGAGTAATTGCTTCAAAAGGTTGTGCAATAATACAAATCCTATTCAGTTTAGTGTTTCTAATTATTCTGCTGAGTAGAAATTCAAATGCAATGGTAGATTTTTAGGTTTAATAATCAGTAAAATTGTATTAATCAGTACTTTTGTCAGGAAGCTATTCCTGTGATATTTTGCTTTTATTAACAGGGGGGTGGTTTCAAGTTTGCCCATGTGTGTAATGACACTTTTACTTACAATTCTACATTTGCCGTTTTTTTTACTTCTTTTTGCTGATCTTTAAATATTTAACTCCAAGTTTATCTTCTTTTTATCCATAGGGAATAAACCGATCTATGTGCATCATAAAGATTAAGCAATGGTGACAAGGAAAGATTGGTTTTAACAGAAGAGTTTCAATCTTCAAACCCTTGGTTGATCTAAAATTACAGAGAGTCTGTCTTACGTTTACCAAAAATATCCTAATATCCTCGTTCCTTAGGACATTTGGCCAGTTAAATGAATTTTGGCCAATGTTGTGTGGAATGATAAGAAAAGTTGGACTTTCCTGAAAGATGTTTGTCTTGTTAGACAAACTGATTTCAGAAAAAAGATGTGCTGCTTTCAATCACAGTGATACTGTAATGGTCTGGATCTGCTTTGCTAACTCAGGGCCTGGACAGCTTACGGAAAATAAAACTGTGGCTGCGTTCACACTGCAGATCTTAATGCTCAGAATTTTGTTTTGTTTGAAATTTGTGAGATTTATTTACGTTGCCGTTCACATTTCCAAATATATGCGACTAGTATGTGATCTCCTGTGTGAACTGTATTCACACAACCTAAGTGTCCCGGATGCGCAGTAGAGGAAGCAATGACGTCACAAGAAAGTGTGCTATGCGTTTACCGAAGTAAACATGGATGGTAGTGCTGGAGCACATCTAACGATCCTTCATTTGTTTCCCAATTTTTTACAAACATCTTTTCCTAATTGGTTAAAAAAAAAAGCTCTCCGCATTATCGTCCGCCATGGTTGTTGTTTTTGTTGCAGCTTCTGAGTGTCAAGACGCAGAATAGTGACCTTTGTCAAGTATTAATGAATCAGGTTGGATAAATGCGACCTGGACGTTCAGATACAGGTTGCATTTGAAAAGATCAGATTGGTATCGGATTCAGGACCACATAGCCAAGTGGCCTGGGTCACCCCGGAAAAGAATTGGATCAGTGTTGTTCAGACTGCGATGAAAACAGGTTGCATATGGGCAAGAAAAATCTGATTTGGGTCACTTCAAAATACAGTGTGAATGTAGCTTAAGTGCTCTGCCGTCATTAAGAACATCCCACAGGAGTATGTGCAGTCAATGGTGTTTGACCTTAAGCCCAAGTGCACTTGGATTATAAAGCAGGACAATGAATCAGATTCAGCGAGTCTAACTGACTAGCAAAAAAAAAAGAAGCAACAGAGAGGTTTGGAGTGGCCTAGTTAAAAACCAGACTTACCATGATTTGCACAACCAGTTAATAGGTTTAGATGGTATTTACATGTCCTGTATGGCCATTGGTTAATGATAACTTCTGTTTACATATATGAATACACAGCTATTTAAAAACAACATTCACTATTTATTTAGGGTATTTATTCTAGATAAATTTGTAACCTGTGAGACAACAAGCTAAACTATAAAGATTCTATAATGAGGGAAATGCATCTTTAAGGGGAATGCCGTTTTTTTTACATTGGGCCCTTGATTTTACATTATTACATCATGTTCTACTCACCGACAGTTCTAGTTAAACAGTTCAACTGAAACATCATTAGTTCAACTTTTTTATTTTCTTTAGTCCAACTGCTTTTTAATATTCTTTTTTGTTTCTGCATTTTTTTATTTTTTCTACTTGCTTTGATTCTGTTTTGTTTTCCTAAATTTTAATCATATAAAGCACTTTGCATTGTCTTTGTACTGAATTGTGCTATACAAATACATTTTCCTTGCCTTGCCTTATCCATATGAGTTTTAGGAAGATGTTACCTGGATATAACCTTTCCGAATGTCTTCAGAACGGCTCCAAATGACACAAAACTCATATGGGTGAGTAGAACATGATGTAATAACGTAAAATCAAGGGCCCAATGTGAAACAAAATGCTGTTCCCCTTTAACGCTCAGTATTTAGTTTTTTATACATGTCTAACTAACTTGCTGAAAGAATGATGAAAAAAGTGCTGCATAACTGGAATTAAACTGGGAAGAATTACTTTCTGAATGTGACTGAAATTATCATAAAATAGCCATAGTCTCCAGATGTTTCATACACTGTTGATTAAAACAACTATTTCAAGAGAAATTCATATTGGACCACAGCAGTCACAGAGAGCCCATTGGAGCCTGGGGACATAGAGTACAATTCTTATGATAGAGTAACTGCTTATTAGAATAAAAGTATCCAAATTTTCTTAAGCATAGTTCCACTGAAACTTCCAGCAAAGCTTCTAAAGACTTAATAACATAAAAATAATTTATAAAAACTAATAATGAATCCCATGTTTTATTCAAAATTAAAAGCAACAATCACACTGAGTGAAAAAATGGTTCCACTAAGGAAGAGTGTGATTAGGTGTTTGGGTGCTCTTTGATGGAAGATTTTAAAACAATTTATTCCAATATATTTTGTTTGCATTTTACTTTTATTTGAGGTTTGGCTGAATTAATTTTCCACTTTCTTGCCCTGCCTGTCAGTATAGGTGGTTGAGTATGGTTTGGTGGGTTGGGAGTCCTGGATATAAAAGTGCTCACCAAGGTGTAAAATACTGTAATAAATATTGTTTTATAAACTAAGACTGCTCTGAACTCTGCCACAGCCTGATCACTGACCTATCAACTGTGCTTCTTGGTCTTGGTGGAACACAGGAGAGATTGAACTCCACACATGGACTATTTCCTAATGAGAAAACCTCTGATGGCAACTGTGGCGCAGATTCTACTGATAAAATATTGGAGTAAAGAAGGATGAATCCAAATTCTATTCTTCAACCCAGTGGTTCCTCATATCCCAATAAATAGACTATGAAACTCTTCTTTTAGTCTAGAAATCAATGAATGGCTTTGCACCAAAATACATTACAGACTTGTAGACAGTAGTAAACTACCCAGACATCTCGGGTCCTCTGGCTCAGGTCTATTCTGCATACCGACAACCAGACGAAAACATGGAGAAGCAGCTGTAGTTCTTAATCTCAGTTAATGTCTGGAATAAACTCCCTGAAAAGTGTGAAAATGCTGAAACCCTCTGTTACTTCAAACTGAGCATACAAACATAATGGCTTAGATTGGCATTGTACTGTGCTAGCTAAATAAAATTAGTAAAGACTCCAACTTCAGTTTCATTTTTGTAATCAATCATTTTAATCATTTTATATATATATATATATATATATAGATCTCTCTCTCTATAGATATATACTGTACATCTTACTCCAAGCCTCCCATAGGTGAACCAGGCATCCATCATATTTAAATTTCATAATCTATTTTCATTTATTTGAATTATTTGTTTTACCTGTTTGTCACTGCAATGTAATTTATATTTTCATAATTTTTCTATATACAGCTCTTTGAATTGTCTAACACACAAAACTACAATAAAACTCAATGAAGTTTGCATATACAAGGTACCAAAACGTGGGAAATGTATGAATACAGCCAACATATGCAACCACAAAATTAAACTATGCTTCTGCAACAAGGAATTACTAGAGATGATTGTAGATAAAAACATTTAGAGTTTCTATTGAAAGGTTAACCATTTTAACAGTATTAGGACTTCATGCAAATCTGCTCTACGGCTACTACAAAAGTGTTAAAAAAAAATAACCCGGTTTCCATAAGGCAATAAATTAAATATGAACACCTTCTATATCTTAGCCTTGATGATTAATAAATATCAGGTTTTCCCGTCTTTTGGCTTTTCCTGAACCGTGAATGTTATTGCCCAAAGGAGTCATTTAAAAATAAAACCTTGTTTCTAGAGAGTCAAATTCTTTTGATCTGTCATGCAGATGCATTTTTATTTCCCTCTGCCTTAAAGTTATAGAAAAACTTCTACACTTTCCTTCCTGATATATTCTGAATGTTTCAACTTTAAATTTAGGCTTTTGGTGATTAGTTTATTCTCTATTAACTTTTTTCACAGCAATAGAAATGCGACGAGGAGGGTTTTCATGCCCCTCAGTCAAAGGAATTGATGAGATGGTGATGGGAGTCTGGAGTGCATACCTGCTGGCATACTGCTCTATCCTGGAGTGGGTGTCGTCATGAGAGAGCTGAGGTGTCTGGGACAGCCTGGAAAATGAATGGAGTAATGGAGATGGATGAGATTCTGCGTGCCCACACAGCCTCGTTAAAACAGAAAATCACGAGCACATGCGCACACATTCGTTCACACATTCACAACCTAATGGCCCCGCACAGCTTCACCTAGAAACAAATCAGATGATCCTACAGAGAAAGAAATATGAAAGTGGGATGATCTACGTAGCGTTCAGATGCTTTCTGACAGGCCAGTGGGGATGAGACACTGTTTTCTAGGTGGTTACTTTAATAAGAAGAGGAAGGTGAGAAAACGGCGGATGCTTCCCCCCCCCACATTTTTAGGATGCTTGTTCAACCAGTGGATCAGACAGAAAGGCAGCCAGTCAGGCAACATGCAGTCAAAATTTAGGTGGTGCAAGGATGCCGGTGGTGGGAGATGAGGTTCTGATTTAGGGGTGAAAGGAGCAAAAGGAGGTGTCGTTCAAAAGCATTCCAGTCTGGAGACGGGGTGTAGTTACTGGTGACCAATACTTACTCATACTGCTCCGGACACATGCTGATGAGAGTGACGGGACTGTAAGGAGGGAAGGAGGGGAAGGGAGTAAAGGCACCACAAAATTATTTTAGGGTCAAAATCAGTCAATGGGTCTGAGAAAGACAAAAGGAGGAAAAACAGGAGGAGAAAAAAAAACCCCTCCATATTTATGCATCCAGTTGCCAACCAGTGGGTTACACATAAGGGGAAGGAATGTTGTACAGTCAAGAATAAATGTACACACCTTATGGCTCCAACAACAGACCTTTTTTTCCCCCAAAGAACACAGTATGCAAAAAACCCAGGGTTCCTACAATATTTCAGACTTCACACCTTTTCAGGTTGTTTTTGTAGATGTTTGAGTACAGCAAAGTCACGTAGAAGAGTTTTTAGTTTTAGTTTCTTCCACCCACATATAGATAAATATTTAGATGAAGTATTTTTTTTTTTTTATCACATTCTATGGTCTCTCATTTAATGTATAAAACCCAAATCCTGTCAATGACAGTTATTTGTACTACATTTGAAATACCACATCTTGAACTGTCTCTGATTTTACATGCAAACTGAACCCAGCTGATGAACCCTGGTCGAGCGTCTAGATCAGGGGTCTGCATCCTTTCATATCCAAAGAGCCGTTTTGCCCAGAGTACGACCAAATAAAAGTTGTTTAGAGCCGCAAAATATACCGTGACCTTTTTTTAGAAAACCTTTTTTTTTTATCTTGTATAGGAAATTAGTTGTTGCCATCTCAAACAATCAATTCATATATTTTTAATGTTAAAACCTATAATTTTCAAGCTATTTCATAGAAAAATGTTTCTTAAAACATGTTTCTGGTTCTTTTAATCTCATTCTTTTCCATCTTATTAAAAACGCTAAAGCTATTGATATATATTATATTAAGTATATAATATAGTACATTATTTAGCTCTTTATATACATTTTAGCCACTATTAATAGCCGCTGGTGAGGGTCCAAAGAGCCATATGTGGCTCTGGAGCCGCAGGTTGCAGACCCCTGGTCTAGATGCAGTAATGTATAAGTTGACATTTCTCCTACAATCAGTGTGTTTAACCCCTCCAAAAAAAAAAAAAAAAAAATAGCTAAAAACACTTTTAGCTATTAGATAATATTTTTACAAACTTGTCCTGACTTCAAAGGTGTTAAAAAATAAATGCTGTACCTTTTAAGGCCACATAGGAAATGCTGAAAATCTTAATGCATGTTTTGCTTCTAATACTCCAGACAATCCAGTAATCATCTAAAATGGTATTAAAATGGTATGGGTTCCTGAGAGTTTTTTTTTTTTTTTTTTTTTTTGAGAATCATTGCAAATACTTTTTTTTTTATCACAGCATTTAATTTTTTAAGCCACCCAACTATGACCTATAAATCATTCAAGTAAATGCCAACCAATAATGATAATGGTTCATTCTGCCAATCTTGTAATACACTTGGCAATTTTTTACATAATAAAGTCAATAAAGCTATAAATCAGCCATAAAGCTATAAATCAGTAATAAGATTAAGTGTTTCAGCCAATAATGTTATAACACATTTTGTGTACAGTTTGTGTTATTGAATACACCTGATAACAGATTATTCTCAAACTGGCTCTTCCAATGCAAACACTGCATTGTAGGCAACAATAATAATGAATGACTATGATAACTAATTCACTTTACCTGCATTTGATAAGCTTAATCTCCCATTTTCGTTTTCTATATCCAAGGAGATCAATAAAAAAATAGGATAATATTCTGACAGCAACTCGATACAAAGAAATAATGTATAGGGCCTGGTGCTTAATTTTACATGTATGTGTCACCACAAACATTTTAAAGCTTAGATCCACTTTAAGATATCTGAGGAAAGTTTAATGTTTTAAACATGACTTTATAGAAAGGAAAGGTAGCTTGAAATTTTCTGCACAGTACCTCAAAGGAAGAGTGAAAAAACAGGAAAACAAACCCACTCATGAATGTGACAAAGTCTTCAAATATCCACCTTTCAAGTCTGTGCTAATGTGCTGCCTTTAGAGTGGGAGATAAGAATTTGTAATCTAAAAATATTCAACTTTTTCACTGAAATATATATATATGCTTTCCCAGAGGAATCAAACTCGGGGTTCAGATCAATTTTCCTTAATTCTATGCTTTTCTTACCACATACACCAAAGCAGGTGGAGCTGTTCAATGCCAGTGAGTGGCCATTTGTATAGACAGAGTGGAGAGGGAAGAAATGGAAACAATCAAAAGACTACGGTTGGGCAAAGGCAGTTTTCCAACTGCACAGACAGAATAAAAACTGTGAGCTTTTTCTGTCTTTTAAGATGTGGACATCAAGTCGGACCTTTGAAAGTTTGAGTGCTTTCGGAAAAACAATTTCCTTTCAAAGTTGTCTGAAATGCATTCTGTGTGATATGTGCTCACATTAACATGGAGGAGGAGGTTAAGGATGAAAGAGTTTCTGCTTTCCTGATAAAATATTCAACGTCTGGACAGACTGACTTTTAATAAAAGATCCAAACTATGGGATTATAGCATCAATGTATGCAAAAAAAAAAAAAAATCTTTTGTTAAGTACTAACATCCATTCAGAAGCTCTTTTGTCCTTCTAGCTACTTCAGTAAACCATGGAAATGCTGACTGGGAAAAACGACAGAAACTCCTAAAAGAGTCTGTGTCTATTTTCATCACCTTAAGGATTTGTTATAACTGAACAGCATGTGCTTCTCAGTTTTTTTTTCCTTCAAGGTGAATGCCCTGAACAGCTTCTAAAAATCAATTTGGTCCATCATGCTGTGGTAGTCACTTTGTCTCTGTTAGCGCAGGTTTTTTCTTTACATTTCCTTTATCCCAATTTTATTGTCAGCAGTAAAAAAAAAGAACCCATCTGTGCTTGCTGACACCTCAACCTGTCGGATACAGGGAGACAGCTAGAGGGCCACAAGAAACATTCCAGTAAATGTGTGAGTCGCTTGGTGACAGATACATCCTTTCACTTGTTCTTCTGTAAGAGAGAACTAAGAGCAAAGTACATAAAAGAAAATGAAAAACAGCTCATGCATGAAGAGAAATTTAATTAAAAAGCTATATATGTATAATTATGAAATGCCAGGTTTATACTGTTTACTCAAAACTGACATACTATAGAAAGTTTAATTTAAGTCAGCTCATTCTAAACAATCTAAAATGGATCTTTTTTTTTTATTTATTTGAGAACCCAATCACACATTTAGCTATGATTATTTTTAAATTGTATAGATTAATACTCAGAAGACGGTTTTGCAGGATATAAATGTATATGAGCATTTGTGCAGTTCTATAGCACATACAGTAGAATATGGTAAGAGAGGGAATTTGGTTTACTCACGATACATATAATATAACAATTTGTATACATTTTCAAATCAAAATGAATATATAAATGAAATAATACATCAGATGCAAATATTGGGGGGCCACGACATAAGTATAAATAAATAGAAATACGTTTTTTCTGCCTATATTTTTTTTATGGATAAGATCACTAAACATCTGAAAAAAATCCTCCATCGGCAAACTTATTAACACGCTTGCAAAAGCCTGAAATCTGGTAAGAAAAGCTAAGGAGCGAAAAAATAAACAACAAACAAAAGAACATTAGCAGGGTCCTTCTAAATTTTAAAAATATAGCTGTGACAAATCCAAAATCTCCTCAGGTGTGACATGAAGCAAAAAACAAGAGAGAGAAAAGAGTAGGATGTGTTTTGCTCTCTCTCATGAAGAAAATGAGAGTGGGAGGAACAAAAAAAAAAAAAGAGGAGAGTGAGGCTGAGAGTTAAAGGAGGGTAATTACTCAAAACCTAATCTAGTTTTCTCTACTGACACTAAGTCAATAGAAACATTTTTAAATTCTTAGAACTTTCTTTGGTTACGATGCAAAGTGGAGTCTGAACATAATTGAAAGAGTTTACAGTAGCAGAAAAAAATCTAAAATAATTTTACTGAAAAAACTCAAAGCTAAAGCAGGATTATGGCTAATGGTATTTCAATGTTTTAGTATGTTAGAGGAAAATAATTCAAATTTCTGTATTACTTACAGAGCTACCGGCATTTATAGTCTAATGTTCACATAATGTAGTCAAAGAAACTGCAAAATGATCACTAACTCTACTTTCCCCTCCCTACTGGTATATTTTTAAAAGATCTCATGCAATGATTTCCTTCCCTTAGGGAGCATTTGTCAAGAAGGAGGCTCTGCAGGAGTCATTTCTCAGAGCACAGGGTTGAAAGTGAGAACGGGCAAAGGTGGGAGGTGAGGAGGAGGACGGATAGGGGCAGTTAGTGCAATCCATCTGAGTGTTAACAGTGGCCAACTTTAAGTTGGGAGAGAGCTTTTGTATATCTAACAGGTGACTCATCCTGAGTGCTGAGATGCTGCAGAGTAACATCATGTAAAAGTAAAGAACAGTTAGAAATAACAAGAGGGTGGATACACATTTAGACACAGAATAAAGAGGGGAACACTTGAGTTTGGTAGCAGAGATTGTTTAGAAGACAAATGGAAATTAACACTATTGTGGTGAATGTATAAAAAAAATATATATATCTTTAGATCTTTATTTCAGGAGATCTAATTATCCTATTAAAATCAAGAATTTATGATCAAACATTGGATTTAAACAAACGCAGAAATTTTGGTTTATCCTAATCAGAAGTTAAAATTAATTCTCAATCCGAATGGACTTTAATGATGGATATAAACAGCTTTTTATTGCGGTTTGAACCATAAAAAGATCACAAAAATAATTTTAAAAACAAAGGGCAAGCGAATGAGTTTTGATCTATAGTGAAAATGGGTTATAGCTGATTATTTCTGGATTTTTAGGAATCTCCAAGATGCTGCAAGGCTGGTAAACCTGAGTGCATTTTTTTAACTATTTGTATAAAGTAGGAAGAACACAAAAGATAATAATAATAATAATAAAGGAATATCATCTCAGCTTTGCCTCATTAATCAGTAAAATGGATGAAACTCAGACATTGGTTGGAGTTCTGACAGAGTGCTGATCCCAAACACTCATCAGAGATAAAACAGGCCAAACTAGTCAGATTCTAAACTCCACGAAATCCTTTTTAAACAAATCATAATTCAAAGTTTGTACTGGAAACTGGGCAATGAACTCAGCTACCATTTCAGCCAAGAGGAGATGTCAAACGTCCAGCTGGAATCAGGCCATGGATGAATTGATGACCACAAAAAGTGCTAAGAGGCATTCATACCAGTGCTAATGAGGATGTAGATATTAAGCATGTGTGGACTGGAAAAAGTCCAAAGTTAATATTAATTTGAGCAACCAGTCCTTGTTTTCATAGTTAACTGAACTGGTCTGTTGGATAATAAGGAAAAAGGGATTCAAATTTATCATTAACTTCTTACATGCTTTTAGTGAGCGAGTAAACGTCTGAGAAAAAGAAGTTTAATGTAACAGAAAACATGAAGATCTTTATTGTTCTTCAGATCTTTGCTACCTTTGGAGTTTGTCACCAGTTTCCTTTTCTATTTCCATTCCTTTGCGTTATTAAAGTGTCAATCATTGACTTTGAAATATATTGACATCATCAACGCATCAAAAATATGTTGTTTATATAGTTTACTTACTGAATGTAAAGCAGCGCTCTGGCTCTTAAGCTTATAGAGTAACTTACGTCTCCAGGTTGTCTCCCTCTAAAACCGTCTGGACTGGTAGGTAACCCAGCCGGGGATGCTTGGCAAAGTACTTCTTCGATCGGAATTTGTTCTTTAGCACTTTGGTGAAATCTCTCATGTCTTCGCCTGATGTTGTCTAAAAAATGGAAGAAAAAAAAACACAAGCATAAAAACTGAGGATTAGGCATCCTGTGCACATGTAGTGAAGATCAGCATTTCTGTGGAAGAAAATTAGACTGTTAATTAGACAATAAGCAAAGGTGTTTCACCCACAGAAGCAATTTCAGTCATGCAAGCAAACAACAAATTAGCACAACAGTCTGACCGGGGGGGGGTGAGCAAAACCCAGTTCCAAGTGATTTATAATACCGCACACACATCCTGACAATTTTTTTTTTAAAAAGGGGGAAAAAAACTGCTTTAGCAGATGACAGATACGTGTAACAGGCTTGTTAAAGCTCACATGGCTTATTGGCTAATCCGCACAACTTAAGATGGTAGCTTGAACAAATCACCAGCACGTACAGAGCAGCTGCAAGAAAAAAAAAAAGCCTGTGCTTCATTAAATCTCTCCTCTGTGACTGTGCAGACATGCAATCTCAGATACTAGATAACCAAAAGGCATGTATCCCTATCAAATTATTCAGTGCATGCAGCATTGTTTACAATGCTTAGAGCTTTTCACAATTTGTCAAATTAAAACCACAATCTCTTATGCATTTTTTGGACTTCATGTGAGAAATTGTGAAGTTGAGGGAATTTAATCAACATTTTTTAATTAAAATAATGAAAATGAAGTCAGGCATGTATTCAGCCCCTTTAATATCCTGCATAATAATAGCATCCACTGCCTGTGTGTAATTTAAACTCAAGATAAAAATGGTTCTTTGTGAGGGCTTCAGAGAAGCAGCAAGAAGCGATGGTGGTATCTTTGCAGTTCAGGTGGGAGAACGTGTCAATAAGAAAACTATCAATCGAGCACGCCACAAATCTGGCCTATAAGAATAAAAAACAGGCATAAGACAGACAGGCATAAAAATACCTGCTGTAGTTTGCCAAGAATCACAAAACAGTGTAAGAACATCCCTGACCCTAACCCTCTTGTCATTTAAGGTCAAAGTTAAATGTTCATATATTGGTCCATATATTGTGTGTTAGAAAGGTAATGCTACACATCACCTCAATCATGATGAAGCCAACCATGGTTTCCATAGGCCAGTCAAACACCAGACTTAAATTTAACTCAAATCTCCAAGATTTGAAATAAAATGGTTCCAGATGCCTCCATATGATGAAGAAAAATGCATGTTATGCTTTTTTTTTAGGTTTTTATATGCAACATTTATTCAAATAAAACCCTCATCTTACTTTTATATCAAACCCGTCCAATACTTTGCCTCTGACTGATACAAATTCCTAATAAAATATAATGAGGTTTTCAGAAGTATAGGGACAAAACATAAAAAAAAGCTGAAGGAACTGTAATTGAGAAATGCAGCACAGGAGCTGCAAAGACACCCCAGCATTAATAATTCAACAAGGCACAGTAATATGGTGGGTGTCATAATCCCTAATATTTGGCCCATGGGTATATGTTAGTGACAGTTAAAAAAAAAAAAAAAGACTAAAAATGACAGCAAACCTATTAGAAGCAGAATTTCGACTAGAAAAACATAAGCCCTTAGGAAAAGTACGAGTTTAAACGGGCGACAGAACAAATTAAAAGTAGAAGTTTTTCACCCACTCAAATTTATAAATTAATGAAAAGCAGGATAATGGACATAAAATAAACAGCAATGCAAATAAAACGCTGCTGAAAAACAGTCAATAAAACAGCTGCACTGTGTCGCTTATCGTTTTCCCAGTTAGTCAAACAGGGTGCATCAATAAAAGAGGCTAAAAGGCTTGATATGATTATTAGAAAACTACAAATGTGATTATATTACCGTATATTAAGATCCTGAAGGTAAACGTACAATAAAAATTACATAAGTTGCAAAAAACTGACATTTAAAACAGGGAAGTGAGTCAAATATGTTTTTAGCTATCTGATAGAAATTAGAAGTTAGAAGTTTCCGACTGTAACATGCATTTTTCCCCCAGCCTCCACCAGCTAAAGGGTCAATAAATCTAGGTCAAGCTTAATGAGTGGGCTTCACGTCCAACTTTCACAATAGAGACAAAACTGCTTTCAAGGTTTCAGTGCTTTTGTTACTACAGCCAACCCAGTATCGATCTGTGAGCATTAGGATGGTGTTTAAGGAGAAAACAGCTGAAGAAGAGTTTTACTAAAACATACTTCTATTAAGCATTTTTTTTGGAAATATCTTTCTAGTTGATGCTTGTTTCATTAGGTTTTTTTCAATATTTTTTTTTTTTATCAGGTTTTATTCTTTCTGCTATGACTTTTTGAATTATGAGAAAAATCTGTTTGTTAAAACAAATTGTAGGCCTAACCACCTACTTTTATTATCTGCTCCCATTTCCTTCCATTGATCTCTTTATGATTATGTTGCCCTTTTTATTTAAAGGGAAAACATTGCTTACTGACAAGCAGAGAATAAAAATAAACATCATGATAAAATATCTGATTAGTTTTTGAACATGATATTTTCTGATCCTTTTCTCTCAGGCGTTGTCCAGTATGCTGTCAGAGGTATCGCTCCAAACCAGAACACATCTCTGCTGCACAGATAGCACATTGTGCCATTATTACATTCTTATCAACAAGGTGCTGCCAAACAAAGCCCATCTTGCACTGGATGTTCAGCACCAGGCTCTGAGAGTCGCTTAGAGATTTGTCTTTGCTCTGTTTTAAAATGGGGAGCTGCTCTGTGCAGATAGTCAGACGGCATTTAAAAAGAGGGAAGGAAATATGACAGAATTCAGGAATGAAATGCAGAGAGTTATAAAGATTAAAAAGTGATGAAAGAATGACGTAATTTAGTGAAGATATTTGAACAATTTAGGCTAATGAATGATGTGAAACAGGTGGAATTAAATATTTGTTAGTTTTCTGTGGAACAACTTTTCGAACTGAATTATTCCCTCCCCTTAAAGATACTCCTTCTAAATCATTCAATATAATTTTGAACATATATTTCTCCTTTATTTTTTCAGGTTCTGCAACAGCCTTTATTCAGTTTACAAAAATATTCATTAGGCCAAAGAAATGTAAAATGTGAAAAAAATAACCAATAAAATAAAAGGATTTGAAAAAAAACCAAAAAACAAAGCTGAATTAGCTTCCATCCATTTTTTGTCACGCTTTATCCCAAGCGGGGTCACGAGGGGCGCTGGTGCCTAGCTCCAGCTGTCTATGGGCAAGAGGCAGGGTACACCCTGGACAGGTCGCCAGTCCATCGCAGGGCAATACAGAGACAAACATGACAAACAACTATTCACGCACACACTTACACTTAAGGAAAATTTAGAGAAACCAATTAACCTAAAAGTCATGTTTTTGGACTGTAGGTGGAAGCTGGAGTACCTGGAGAGAACCCACGCATGTTCAGGGAGAACATGCAATCAGGAATCGCACCCAGATCTTCTTGCTGCAAGGCGGCAGTGCTACCCACTGCACCAATTTACCTTTGATTAAATTGTTTACTTTAATATGATGTGAAAGATTTAATGGATAATTTGACTTGGTTGGAATTATTTGGATTAAATGGATACTTTTATGTTTAATATAGCCAACAGTTTGAAAAGGTTTAGAAAGGTGTCACAAGTAAAAAGCAAATACTCAGTTTTAGGAGAAAGTTACTTGTTTGCTCTACATTAAAATAAAAAATAAAAATCTGAAAAGGCTGAATAATATCTTAGCGCTTGTATTAGCTCTGGAATAAAGCTTGGAAACATTTTCCACACATATATGAACAGAAAAAACCTAAAGTCTAATTTGACACACTGGAGTGAATATGCATCACTTCTCCTAGTTAGGATGTACATTTCTATAAAATATGAGTATCTAAAGTCAAAATTCTTTTAAAGATTTATACAAAAATGAATTCATGATTGTTTACTTTAGGCAAAACAATGGAAACATTTCATAAATAACGAATCTAAACCGGTGCTGGAGGACAAACAAGCTAATTGATGCATTGCTCAGAAATAACACCTTTGTCTCCATTGCTTTGTTTTAAAAAGACTAATTATCACAATGAAGAAGAGAGAAATATAAGAAATTATTTTTCCTGTCTGTACAAAGCCTTTCCAACACCTTTGGGGTGAACAGGAACGCTGACTGAGTGCCAGCAGCTCCTGTTCTCCCACTGCAGCTAAGTAGGCTTTGTGATTAGAGGAAGACCCTTGCAGCCAAGTGCTAAAAACATTTTCAGACTTCCCATTGGAATGAACATTGTTCCAAGTGATGCAGGAAGCTTGCAGAGGAGTTCATCCTTAATAGAAACTTTGTCAAAGAAGATGCTTTGATTTAAGCAGCACAAGGAAATGAGGTAACAGCATGAGTTGAATGGTATTACAAAAATTAACACAGAGTAAGATTACAAATATGGTGCATTGATAATTCAGTAGTCTCTCTCTTTGTGTAATAGGAGGATTAATATTCATTGGTTGGAAGACTGTATCTAATTTGACATTAAGATGAGCAAGAAGGTTATCAAGTGTGAATTTAACTGGATTCATTTAATGGTTAATTGGAGAGTGTGAGCGTGTGGAAGGGAGATATGGCATAAGCTGGTGGAGAAAGTGTGCAGACGTGTGTGAGGGAAGGTTGTGTGTTGCTTCCTCACCGGTGTGCAGTATTCAACCATGGGGTAGTTGAGCTTGTGGCCCTTGGCGGTGCGCCCAGAGAAAAAGCAGCTCTGACACACGTCGTAATTGAAATGCTTCAAACTGCGATACCTACGTAGAGAAGTGGGAGAAAACCAGTGAGAAAAGTTAGGTTGGGAAGAAGTTTCCCGATATGTCACTTTTATATCCTCTGGGTCTGTTATTCTGCAAGTGCACAAGTGAGCAGATTGGCTTACAACGTGACTCATCATCTGGAGAGCTGTCTATTCCCACTGTCACTTCGTCAAGCAGGCAAACTAAAGGCTGACAGAATGACAGACTGCCGGATTTCCACCCAAACACAACACTCTGACAACAGCTGTGGGGATGTTGTCCTCAGCAGCAGCTGTAGCAAGTCTGCCATTAAACAGCTAAATTGAGACAGGAGCCATTCAGACATAATAGCTTAAGTCTTTTATCTTTCTCTCTTCTCCAGCTCTCCCCAAGGTTAGCTGACTGATGAGCTACAAAAGAGAGCTATACATCAAAAGATGCAACAGTGCACACAACTGCACTAAGTCAAACACACCATTACATCGTGACAAGAAGCATATTACTATAAGGAGAGGGCGTTCAGTCACCTTCACTCAGGAGGTGAGGAGGTAATTAGTTAAGCTACCAAACGACGCTGGTTAATTATCTAATTGTTTTTTTAAAGGGGGAACCCCAAAACATTTGAAACATATTTTATAAAAGGACATTTTTCAAAGGATTGAGGTAGGGATGTAATGACAGTAGATAAATACATACAGGTCTGCCATGTTGCAGACATCTTTCCTTGGTTAGATTAAAAACATAAGTACCAAAATAAAGAATAACTAGGTTAAATTAAATCTGAAAGGGCTGCATAACGACAAATGTGATTATGGCATGTGAAAATTTAACGGTGAAGTTTAAATGGTCTTTTTGTTACAGCAAAGAGTTCAGGGCTTCCAAACACAAAATGAAAGTAATCAGAGAATAAATGTTCAGATAAGTCCTCTTACTAAT